GAAGGGCTTCAAACTGCCTTTATGGTGCAGCCAAGGCTCCCCGGCACAGGGAAATCCCCAGCTGGCAGCAAGCTGACAGAGCTCGGCTTCGTGCCATCCCCTCCTCCATCCGCTGTGCAGGGGCTGCGGAGGGCGAGCAGGATGCTCACAACGTGCTAGCACCCGAGCCAAAGCCACGAGGACCACGCTGGCTGTGAGGGGGAGGCCTGCATCCTGCCTTCCCTCCTGGCTGTACTGACCCTCTCCTCTCATGCACACACGCACGCTGGTCTCCCCAGGGAACACGAAGGACCGGCACGGGTGAATGGGGAGGGCAGCAAGAGACCAAAGCCGGCAGGAAAGAGCTCAGTCCCTGACTGCTGCTTACTCAAGGCTGACACAGTAGCTTTGATTCTTGGGTCCCCAGGAGACCCGGCGTTTCCTGGAGGTACACCCTGCTCAGGCTTGTGCCTAACAGCTACCGGCCTAAGGAGAAAAGAGCTGGTCAGAAAAGAAAGATTCTTCCTGAACACGGAGGAAAGAAGAGACTGAATTTCATTTTACACCACTCTGGGGACAGACTTTGGATTTTCTTGTTGTTGAATGAAAGAACACACACACAAAAATATAGGGACCTAGCACACTCCAAATGGTCTGGGATGAGACCCACGGTTAGGGCAATGGTTGCTGTAGTGAACAGAACAGCAGAAATTAACACAGGGCTCTTAGTGAAGGTGACTGAAAGCAATGGGTGATTTATGAGCATCACACTGGGCACCCTGCAGATCCATTTCCTAAAGAACTACCTGCTGTGTCTGACATTTTCTGTGAAATACAGGAGTTCACGCTGAAGCATCTCTGCTGATCGGCAGACTGATAAACCACTACACAAGCAGCTGCCTTGCTTTTCTCCTCCCCATTAAAGACTGCTGGTGCACCAAAAATAATTTAGAGCTGCTGTACAGAGCAGACAGTTCTGAGTGTCAGATGTGGTTAGTTACTGTTTGAATAATGACGATCGGTTTTCTTTGTAAAGTAAAAAGCATACGACATGACAGCTGAACTGAAAAGAAGAACTAAATCTAAGGCAGGCAAGTCGATAACATTCAAGACAACAGCTACACAACCATTATTTGTATATGGAAAGAGCCTTGTAACTCTGTGTTGCAGATGCGGAACTGTGGCACAAAGCAGCTGAGAGGCTTCTCCAGAGCTACACAGGAAACCTCTGGCCCTGCAGCATGAGCATGAGCATGAGCAGGCTAGGGCATGGCCAGTACCCCAAGCCCTCACCATCCTGCCCCACCAAAGGATTTTGGGCTGTGCTGCAAGTAACTGAATTTCTAACTAGATTTGTACTTTAAAGTGCTAATCCGGTTGCTCTGAAAGTCCTGGAAGAACTAAGTTCTATTTGTCAGCATATTTCTGTGGTTGTTTGTGTAACTTTTACCATTGTGGGTGGTTTTGGTTTTGGTTATGAATAATATTAAGATGAGGCCTTGGCTGAAACATGCTGAGCACTCTCTCAGAGAGACTAGGGCTTTCACCTGCATTTGAAGCTAATCACTGCTTGCCAGCATTAGCCTGGACACCCTGAAGGATCCTGAAGGATCTCCTGACCATGGCCTATCTTGACTTCCAGAGTATTTCCAACAGGAAACAAGGCAGAGGTGTGGAACAAAGGTTTCTCTGCTGATTTTTCATGAATAGTCCCTTCCTCTGGGGATTCATCTCACTACTATTTGATATAGTTGCAGATGGATATATTTTTTTGATGAAGAAATACGGAGATATATGGAGGAATGTGTACATGAAGATACACATACGTATGACAATGTCTAACCTGCATCAGTCTCCCTAATGGCTGCATTTCCAAAGGCAGCCTCTGGATTTCCAAAGCCTTCCTTCAGCAACCACACACTGTAATTCTGTCTGGGAGGAGAAAGCTGGAAAGGGGGCTGCATAGGCTGGGTTAGGCACCTCTTGCTCTAAGGCAGCACCGGCAAGAGGAGAACAGGGGCAAATGTCTCCTTTCAAGAAAGCACATGGCAGGTCTCTACATCTGCAGTACAGCCAGAAATGAGCTGCAGATATGCTAAAGTTACCATTAAGGTAGCCAGTATGGATTGTGCCAGTTGTGTGGCTTCTGCACAAAGAGGTCCTCACACATGGCAAAATCCACCTGAGAAGATGGGTAGATATTTGACAATACCTCCCTTAAAGTCCATGCTGTTTTGGCCTGACTGCTGGTGCTATTCAGCCTTCAGAGGTTACAGCTCTGTGAGCTATGGTGACACATTTGACTGTTAATCCTCCTGGACTGGAGGTGGAATCAGCTCCTGTCTTCACAAGGCAGGAGGTAAAGACAGGTTAAGTGTGCCAAGTCCCCAGTATTACGTACCCTATGAGCTCTGAGCAAAGAAGAAACCACGGTCTCAGGAAGAAGGAAAAATACCTTCTTTATACAGAAGGGAAAGTAAGAAAATAATGCAGGGTTTTGTCAGCAGTGGCAGCAGGAAGCTGGGTGAGGTAAAGAGAAATAGCTATTGTGTTAGCTATGAGGTGTTCTCTGGTCACTTCCAGAACAGCACAAAGACTGGATGAGCATACCCACTCTGAGAGGCAACAGCTTCAGGAATGAGGAACCGGCAGAGCAGGGCTTGTCCCAGGTCACTCAAGAAGTTTGTGACCAAGCTCAGAATAGAAGCAAAGTCCAGAACTCCAAGGCTGCACATGGAGCATGAAGGCAGAGGACAAGAGTTGATGAGCAGAGGTCACAACCACAGAAAGGGACGAAAGCTGGACAGTCAGCAGAAAATACAGAGAAATAAGAACACAGAATGGGGAGGAAGATGTGGAAAGGGAAGAAGAGCGAAGGGAAGTGAAAGACACTGAAATGGTGATTACCTAAGCCTGTGCACCAACAGCAGTGCTGTGCACTCATGCCAAGCTTGGCTGGGAACCTATCATCTCAGTATCTATCTGTGAAAAATCGCAGCAAGACCTAACAGCTCACTTTATCTCAGAAGAGCTTTCTGGATAAAGGGATTTGAGAGTAAAGCCTCCATAAGCCTTTGGAGTTGCTTTCCTTTAATGCTATAAAGCACAAAAATAAACTTTCTAGTCAGGAAAAATATGGCTTTTGTTATGTTCTGAGTCACTCTTCCCCAGCAGCAAACAAAGTGGCTTTTCAATTCAAGTCCTGAACAGTTCAGAATGAAATGTTTTGTGAAGTCCTAAAGTAAATCACAATTCTCCAAGTCACATTTCTAGCTAATGTAAACTCACTGAGGCCAGTAAAGAGACTGCATGAGACCAGTCCTTCCTGGCCTGACTTGGGTGGCATAACTGATAAATTAATCTCCAGCTGAAATCAATTCAAGATGATCCAGTCACCCCAGGAGAAGCCTGGAATTTCATTATTAACTTGATGCCATTCTGCCTAATGGCTTCTCTTAGCACAGAGGTCAAGTACATCCCTTGTGAGCTATGCTAGAGTTAGATGTTACTGGCCTGATTCAAAACCCAATGAAATTGATTTTGCAGTCCATTTTGGGAGTTCATTTAAATGGACACAGGCTTGACTTTGAAGTTTGCAAGCTTTTACCTATGTTTCTTTCTTTTTATTTATTTTACGATGTTTGTACCAAATATTTTTAGAAGCATAGAAGAATCTCTTAGCTTGTCATATTAAAATTACCTTAAAACACAGTGTTCAATTTTACTATCAGAAACACTATTTTGCTTTGTTATCATGCCCCATTCCCTGAATGGGAAGTGGATTTCACTTAGTTATACTCTTGCAAATCTCCTAAATCAGCCACTGCTAAAACCAGATTCAACATTGCTCTTCAGAGGCAAGGGGACAAGTAAAAACTCTCTAGATTTTACTGTGATGGCACCAAAGCTACATCAACCACATCCCAAACACAGACTGAAGAAGAAAACCATCCAAACTCTACTGTGCCCACGAAACCAGCAATAAAGACTGTACATGATACAACCACAGGGCACCCAGTACCTAAGTTGAAGAAAGTAAAGCTTTCATGGGCATAATTTCACAACTCTAGGTGAGTAACTGCAGTAAAAATTCCAGACCACTAGAAGCTTACAAAGCACATACCAGTACACATTCACAAGATCAAACCATGCATCCAGTTGCCTAGACTGAGAGGACAGCAGCAGTGAATATATATGAAAATTACATCTGTAGTTCATGCATAAGAACACTCCATATTTGCAACAACATACCCAACAACATCACTCTGCTCCCATGAAAACTGGTGTTAGGGTTGCTACTGGCCTTTACGATTTCAGCATCCAGCTGCACGAATAACCTTGCATTGATTTCCTCTTGCAAGGAACATACTTTAATAAAAGAACCAATCAACCAGATTGCCAATAGCTGCCTACCTAAGAATAAGCAGGATATATTCAAAGAAAGCTTTACTCTAACTTATGTTCATTCCTAAAGGCTAAATCTGCTGGCTCACAGCAAAGAAACAGCATTGTTTTACTTATCAATGTCCTACTGTTCATCTAGAACATCTGCAATAGTTTTGCCTGCAGCACTACCCCATTCATTACAGGCCTTGATAGACTGTTCAATGGGCTTTTTTTTTTTGGGTACAAAATGTACAAAAGCATTTAACAAAGTGGACTTTGCCATGATATGAATAATAAAAAAATAATTTAAAAGTGCATTTTGCTTCAGATTCTCCATTTTTGAACTAACAAAATGGAACATCTTAAAACCTGACAGTTCACTCTATAGCATGAAGCAAGACAGCAGGGTTTCTGCAGAACACTGTGGTTTTTGCTTGGTTGCCAAAGTGCACTGCCATCTACCAAAAATGCAGTTGAAAACACCGAACTGCAGCATGACCGAACAGCAGATAGCCACAACCACCAAAAGGAGGCCACACTGGTTTTGTGACAAGGAATAGGTGGGATTTGTAAGTCCTAAACCTCCCCCCTCCCTCCAACAAACCAACCCATACAAGGAAAAGACAATTGCTTACCATCATCCAGATATGCCTGGTCCAGATTCTGTTCCTGTTTAATAGTGACTCCAGCTGGTAACACCTCTTTCTGGTCGCTAACCGGTGGTCCATTTTTTGCTGCTCGCTGACCTGAGGCTGTCTGCTGCTGGATCACGGTAGGGTATGAACTTGGACTTAACCTTTGTGCTTGACTGACCTGGGGCTGGCTGGATCTTGCAACGTTGGATGTAAAATTTTCACAGCACATGATGTGCTGAAATTCTTGGTGACTTCCACACCTCAGCTGCTGGTTGGTTGGAGAATAGTGAATCACTGGAGAAGACTGCTGGTTGCCTGGAGAGTGGTGGAGCACCGCTGAAGTCTGGCCTGGAGAACCAGCATGCACCAGCACTGACCTATGGGCATCTGAAATAGCAACTGGTGTAGCCATCAGATTGGATTGCTGGTAGCCCAGTTGGCTTGGGCTAAGGCTCTTGCTTCTTTGGTATATTACAGCGGCTGGATTCTGCTGATGGTATCGAGAATCAGGAGAAGAAAGGCCTGAGCGCAACTGCTGGCAAGGAGCCATATTGGCCACAAGACAGGAAGGGGATTCGGTGACCATTGTATGCTGTGAATAGTAAGGCTGTGTTACTGTTCCCAGACCACTGTGTACTGTATTGCAGATTAAAGCTGGATCATAGTCATCAATGGGCTCTGTTTTGATTGATGGTACTAGAACAAAGCATGCAAAGGATATTATTCGTAACAAGCTGATAAGAAACAGAGGTTTTCCTTGAAGTAATAAGAGATATAAGCTGTTTACAAGATTTGCATGTGCAAGCTCGTATCTCCCAGGCATTGAGTTTAATAAATCACGTACATGCAATCATGGCAGAGTCTCTCTTGAAAGCACTCTGTACTAAGAGGTTCTTGAAAATCTTTAATGAACTATTTAACTACAAATTTCTAAAGCTGAAAAATTCAATACTTTAGCTCATATTTTAATTCATTTAAGGAGCTAAATAACCAAAACATAAGCAAAATAAGAGCCATAGATGGGTGTTTCATGTAGTACTTCCATCTCAAAGGAAGACTGAATAAATAGAAATCCCATGACATACAACTCCTAATTTTTCTGTCAAACATTTAAGTAGTGGCCAAAGGCAGAGTTTGAACTATTTTAGAGCTTTCCTTTTAGTTCCTGCACATAACTTCCTCCATACTGAGAGATGAAGACCTTTCTGACACCATCATTTAAAAGACTATGATTTACTAAGAGTTGTGTTGTCATGCAACAGGGTTCTTTTTTGGAAGTATAAGGATTCCTTCTCTGAAGTGGTCTATTTTAGACATCATGTGGAGATAGTTTTGTACTTGTCAATACTATCCCATAGCAGAACAATTTAACAACTATACAAAACCATCACATTGGTGACACCCTATATACAGTTCATAAATTCAGGAAGAGGACCAGAGATTTTGAGGCAGGAGGAGACTAAAATAAGAATAAGGATAAATGTTTGCCTGTCCTTAGAAACTAGTCAAGACATCATTTGAAGCTTGCATAAAGTCTGGTACTGTTATTTTATGCTTTCTGGTTTCCACAAACACAATACTCTGATTTTCTCACAATATTTTTCTCTCAGCCAAAGCTGAGAAATTCCGAGAATCTCATTAGTAATTCTGTTGCATTTATTGTGACATGGCTCACCAATTCCCAAGAGGAAGAACATCAGAAAAGCATTCATATTTTTCTCAACCAGCCTCATTCTGAAGAACATGTACTGCTCGTCTTCCTCCATACCAAGCCCTTGTTACTTTCCCAGATCTGATATTATCCTACTGCCGTACACGTCAGCTGGGGAAGGCAAAGCTTATGGTTTTCACAGGGTCATGTCATGTCACAAACTGAGTCGGTTCCCATTGAGGCTGTTGGCAAACTCCCACCAAGTGAATGGGGCAGCATCACCAAGGTAACTGTCCCCTTAAATTTATGGAAATTCGTGATCATAAATCACATGCATCATTTAAACCAAAGAGCTGTTGAGTGCTCATCTGCACTCAGTTGAATTAACTTTGTAAAATTCAGAACCTGAAATAACAGCAAGAAAACAACGTGGCAGAAAATATAATCTTGCTCCTGAGAACTAGGCAACAATTTGCTCTGTCCTTGAGAGTTACCTGGGTGATAGGTAAAATGCTGGGGTTGGCTTCTTTTTCTTTTCCCATTGATGACATAGAAATTCACCTTCACAGCTGTGCGAATGTGCTTGTTACGGTACTCTGGTATTTCTACAAAAAGCATGCTCTGAAACAACAAAAGGTGACAATGTAGGATCAGTAACTGAAGCTGACAGGAGATTTTGTGCGCATCTCCCCTCTTACATATTCAGGCATAAAGGAAGAAAAACCTTGCTACTCATCACTATAAAGTAGGGTACAAGAAGAAGGAAGGAAAAAAAGGCAGATGGTGAAAGACTTGAAGATTTTTGGTACTATAAAGCTGGTTTCTATGTACTGTATCCTCTCTTGTACTTCATGTTGTCCTGAACTTGGAGAAAGAAGTCTCAGCTACAAATAAAACACACAAGAATGGAGATAAAAGTGGGAGCACTGTTAATCATACTATGCTTGATGAACAAGTCTGTATTGCTGAGGTCTCTCTTCTTGTTAGAATAAACTTCATTATTCTATAGGCTTTTTACTTATACACAGAGAGATCCTGCTTCCATGGAAATTAACAGTGAGTCTCCCATTCTCTTCCGCAAGGGCAGGCATGGCCCATGGCAATGTAACTGCTAGCTCCTAAATACACTGAACAACTACAGTAAGGTCCCATTAAGCAAAGTGAACAAAGAAGCTCATTCCCTTGAAAGATTAGTGTTCATTTTAAATACTATAGTCCAAATCCTGTCCTGCAAAGTACAGAGCACCCAAGACTTCCATGCAGGCAAAAGGAAGTCAGGACAGCCAGCATCCTGCAGAGGACTGGGCTGATACAATAGAGTCTTCTGCAAGAACACAAAATCTAGCAGTTATTCAATTTGCTGTGGGTTACTGCTAAATGAATAGTTTCTTTTTGCAATACATTTACTGCTGAAGCTTTTGACATTTGTTCACCACAGCAATAAGATAGCTGCTCTTTCTGCTTTTGAGAAGCTCTTTGAAAACTACTCCCTGAATACAACTTGCTGTCTGAGAAGCTCAAGGAGAGGACATCCAATGTTTTGCATACTTACAGGCTGGCTCTTATCTTTGTCCACTGTTGCCTCCATTTCCCAGATCTGCTGCCCATCTAGAAGAATATTACAATATTAACCTCACTGCACTTTCATTAAATCATAAAGCTTGACTTTAAAAAAGGAAACAAATTAAGGGCATCAAGTTAGCAAAGCTCTTGAAATGGACTTAATTTCAAGCACCTTCCCAGTCCTAACTAATAGCATTTAATTTAAATACATCACTGAACACTTCTTTTGCCAAGAAAAAGCTTACATACATATTAAAATTAAATATTTATGTAGAAATTAGCCAAACCAAGGAATGAAATACTTAGCACAGGTGCAACATCTGCTTTTTACCAGACTTTACTTCAGCCAGCTTGACTGATGGAGGGCATCAGAAGGTCAGATAACTTGTTAATGGTACCATTTGGTCAGCAACTCAGCAAACTATCTGCTATTTTAAGCTAAGACCACATGGCTCCCCACCAGTGTGTAAGTGGTGGAATGGGTAAGGAGGTGAAGGAAGGATTAGCTAAAAATCCAGATCTTTTACGGGATGCATAGATGGAAGCAAATAAAGTGCGTTACTTCAGGGCTGACTTTTAGAGGTGCTGCACAGTGAAATTGCTCTGAATTCTCACAGGAGTATAGTTTTTTCCCAGAAGTAGTTCAACAGGGACATATCCTTATGGGTAATTGGGAAACCTGCTATAGGGTGCTTGTTGTGTGCGCCTTCTTACTATGTATGCTTTTATACGTGCAATAAGAAACATCAGCACATGATAACGAGCAGTACATCTCCTCTGATCAAGGAACATGCCCATCTCCAACAGTGAATCCATGCCTCAGCACTGCCACCACTGCGGGCTGTGACAGAGTGCCATCAGCCCTCCTAAAGTCACTACGTTCACTGTACTCAGTATAAAAGCACCTCATTGCATGTGTGACTCTACCACTGAACCACTGGGAGTCTTTCTGCTCTTAATTACATCCATGCAGCTTGTCTCCATTCTGAGTTACACATAACTGTATTTATAGAGGAAAATAAAATTTGATCCTCTTGTATGGAATACAACCCAAGTAACCCCATGCTATAACAGTATATCAGTATTGACAGGGTGTTTGTACAGAGATCGGGTACTTCATCTGGCTACAAATACTTCTTATATCTACTGTCACCTATACTTCCAGAAACATCCTTCAGCAATGCCTTCCTTACTGCTTTTTTTCTCTATATATAGGTTTTAATCTCTAGCCCTTTGATTTTTATATTCCACTGAGCCTTTTAGCCAAGAAATTTGCAGAATAAAAATACTGATGGGGAAAAACCCTTGCCTCATACCTTTCTGAAAGCTTGGTTTTAAAATGAATAGGGGACACATATCTAAACGAACCAATGTGACTTGAAATACTGCAGCCGCAAAAGCTGGTGTTTGCTTTAGAGAGGAGGAGGCAGCTCCTGGGTGCATTTCTGTGGGGGATCCCCAGACTGCACACCCAGTACAGGGGGAGAAGTCTCCTAAAACCAGTCCTTCTCACAGGACTTTGTATTTTTCCCAATTCTTGGAAATTCTGCAAGAGCTGCTTTTGTCCTCAGTTATTTAAGTACTTCTGCTTCTGGCGAAAAGGGAAATGAAAAAGTATTTTTAAATGCATTTTGCATTTTTTCTGTTGTTTTCCTCTTTGTTCTCCACTCCACACAGACAATGAACTGACAGATGTGCTCAGCTCCCTAGGGTGCCTCTTCCTAACAGGGATCAAGATGCCCCAGCTCCACATCCCTTCAGCCCTGGGATCCCTCCTGATGTGCCCACTGCCTCCCGAGCACCCCACACCTTAGACACCTCTGCTATGTTCTGGGCCCCAAATACACACAAGGAAGTCATCTGCCTGAAGCCATCACCAACAGCGAGCCCCTTCCTCCCTTAGGATAACTCAGCTCCCCAGGGTGTTTGGGCAGGGTGCCTGGCTTGTGGTGGGGCAGAAGTGGGCACACAGCACTGGCTGGGCCTCCTCACCCCCAATCCAGCCTGCTGGGAACGTGGAGGCAACTGAGGAATAGTTGGAAGTTTGGCTCCATTCATCAGCTACCTGGGACGAAAAACCTCACAAGGAGAGAGCGCCTGAGCCTCCAACACCTCACATCTCTACTACTGCCACAGCATTCCAGTGCAGGAAGGACAAGCCAAATAATTCTGCCTTCTCTTTCCTTAAGTGCTTCAAGTTTCCCACCGTCAGTCAGCTGTCTTTTCTACACTAACACGTGGATTAGTGACAGACTGCCAGAGCAGAGATTGCCTAACCAAGCTGTGCAGACAGAGCCAGCAAGAAGATGTGCTGTTTAGCTCTCGCATCCCAAAGGACCGCTGTGCAAAGGAATGGAGAATACTTGTTCAACAATAAGTATTCACTCTGGCCATGGCTCTGGACTGTTGAAGGTTAAATCTATACCTCTATTGATGCAGTGAACTCTTCACCGTTGTTGAAAAGGTAAACATAGAATCATTTAGGTTGCAAAGGACCTGTAAGATCACTGAGTCCAACTGTTAACCCAGCACTGCCCAGGTGACCAGTAAACCATGTCCTAAGCATCACATCTACAAGTCTTTTAAATACCTACAGGGATGGTGACTCTACCATTTCCCTGGGCAGCCTATTCCAGTGCTTGACAACACTTTCAGAACACATCGGAGAAGGGGGAAGCCAGCAAATACTGGGTGTTTAATCCAGCAAATACTAAATACATTGTCTGATGACAAGGCATTAAATACTTAATGGAGAGATTCCTCTTCTAGGTGACCTTTGTGAAAAGAAACCATCATAATGTGTGTTAAGGAACTTCCCCATATCCCCAAAATAACCCCAAAAGATGATTTTGGAAAAGAGGAGGGAAAAGGAAACAAAATAACATGTCATAAAATAAGAGCTCTGATAGATATACACATCAGGACCTGTCTAAGCAATGCAATATGAAGATGTCCTGACAACAAGGACAGCCAAGCAGGAATATTTGACACTGGTTTTCCTCCAGACAGAATGTTTTCATCTTTGTTTCTGTACTGCTAAATTCAAACAGTCTGTGCAGATACAACAGCACTAACTTCACAAAGAAGGTAGAAATCAAAAGGAATTGTTGGTCCAAAATGCATGAAATAAAGGACAGTCATCTGCTGTATTCAAGAGGCCTGTGAAGCAGATGCGGCCACAATCACAGTGGATTTGATTTAGCAACAGAGCCACTGAAATTGCACTAAAAGCTAATGAAGCCAACCATAAAAATCAAATGTTGTTTAGACTCGGTCCAAAGTCTGTGGGGATTAAGAGTACAAATGAAAATAAGCCCAAACAAACAAGAAATAAATGTATTTAGGGTTATCACTCTAACGATGATAGATGCTTGTTTGGATATATTCATGCTCATGGCAGCTAAACAGGTTTCTAACAAATTTGTCAGCAGCAGCAATCCCTGTTGTTTAAGCACGAAAGCCCTGTTGAATATAGCCACTCTGCAGCTCACTCCCTGACCTTTATGCTTAAATATCCTGATGTGGCTCCATCTGTCTCACTGACTCACTTTAGCTCAAGACAATCATATTCGCTTTTCCTTTAACCCCTCTTGATACAGACATTACGGTGAGCTTCAGGCAGAAGGATAAGGGAGGCTGTGAATAAAATCAAAAATACAACTGTGTTCAGAAATCTATTTTAACCTATCCTTTTTGCTGGTAATGAAATAATTTGATTATGCACAGTCAGAGTTAATAGAGAACAGGAGGAATAAACTGCAAAGTTTAAGCCCATTTGTGGGACAATTCAAAGAAATTTTGAACAGAGAAAACTTGTACCAAGCTGTCAACACAATTATCATCTTTAGAATGTGCATAAATTAGATTTTGGTTGGTTGGTTTTTTTTAACAGGAAGAAATTAAAGTGGATGTTTCAAGAAAGCCATCAAGAAAAATGGGATTTTTATTGTAAGGATATGCTAAAAATCATAATGCTAATATGATGGTAGAGAACAGCCCCCCAGTACATGTGTCACAACTTGGGTATATTAAAGTAGGCCTTTTTCTCCAGTGCCAGTGCTGCAACCCAGATGGTGCTTAAACACTAGAGATGCATTTTGCTTTGAACAGGAGGTTGTGCTCAACAACCTCCTCCTGAGGTCCCTTCCCAGCCTTCACTACCCTGTAATTCTGTCATGCCACAAGTGGGACAAATGCCTGGTCCCCTCCTTGCTTGCAAACCAAGAAGATTAAGCCCCAACTTGACTAATAATTTAATCTAAAGCCTACAAGGCCAGAAAGCTGTTTATTGCATATAATTAAACCTGCTTCAAAGTGGAGACGTAAGAGAACTGCAGAAAAGGAACAGCATCATTTCTGCTGAAGTACAGTAAAAGTGTGAGCATGGAGAAGCAGAGAACGTGCACTGTACAACTCACATCCAGCACTGGGCTGTCCTGACAGTGATACACGCCAGCCAGAGCACTGCAGGGATGTTCCATTACATGTGTGGATCACATGGGAACTTAGTGCCAGGTCCTCGTGTGTGGTGTGTCTCAAATTCTACCTCCGCTATGGGGAATTCAATCCGTGCCTCTGAAAAGAGTAGTAGCTCCACTAAAGACGATAAAATATTTTTGGATTTAGACCCTGAGGTCTTACCAGCCATGGCTGCCTCATGAAATATTTTTACTGTTGTGGTTCCCTGCTCATTTAATGGTTTGTCTTAGTTGGCAAGTCTTTAACACCACAGGTCAGTGAAATGTTCAGGAAATAGAGATTTTTGTGCTGCTTCAGGACTATGAGACTTAGCATTAAACCCTGATGAGAGATCTGATTGTGTCAGCACTCTTTGGAGGAATGAATGAGTTGTTGGAAGAAAGTAATTCTACCCTCCCTAACTCAAACTGTGATCATACCAAAAGTCTTGCTTCAAACTTTGGAGAAAATCAAAACGTCAGTCTGCATTAGGAACGTTTTGGGTGATTCTCTGCAGCCCCTTATAGGGCTTTTTTTAATTAGCCAATTAAAGGTTTTCTGAACCAGTTACAGCCTTTACACATTAT